GAAAGAGTATAATAAAATGCTTGAGGTATTTGAACTTCTTAGCCCCTTCCTGATGACCGAGCCTTTTCTTGTTGTAAACTGCCTTCTCTGATCTTCATAACATGTTCAAAGCCTACATAGTGTGCTGGTTTACGATTCTAGAGACACTGCTGCTTTTTCCACTTTTCCTGCTTAGGTTCAGTCTACCACCATCCCATTCATGTGACTCAGTGTTCTGGTATTTTTTCCTCCCTACATTATTGAAAGAAAACAGGCAACATACACTGTCTTGGTCTGAAAAGACATGGGCAGATGAGATGGTCCTGTAGATTATCAGTGTTGGAGCTGGTTAGACAACACAAGAGAGGGAAAGGACTGGAGAAGTTTTTGAATATAATAGCTTGTTTAGGATGCAGCTGAGGTGGAAGTGAGGTTCTGGAGTCCTTATGGGACTGGCCACAGTCTGGATAGAGAAGATAATTTTCACAAAGGCAAAGAACGAGTGTTTTATTAAATAAAATATATTTTTGAATGCTTTGTGTCACTTTGAATTAAAAAGATGTCCAAAAAGGCTGTGCTGCTCAGTTGTATTGTCCCATCAAGGCAAAGGCCATTTCCCTTTATGAATGAGAATTATGCCCAACACTTTAGAAAGCCTTCTAGTCTGCTACACTGTGAGGCTTCCTTCAGGTCACCATGCCACAAGGCCTGTGGCAGCTCAGCCGTGCATAACCATCAACTCCAGTTGGCATGTTGGTATAAACTGTGACATCCATTTACACATCTGAGAGATGTGCGCCCAGTTGTTACCCATGTTGGTTCAGCACAGACTTGTAAAACATTAAAACCTCCCACTGGAGGTGTTGATCCCACAGCTATAGGCACTGCGTTTGGTTAGAAGACCACCTCAGCACCTGTGAGCCGGGTCCAGTTACCTCTTACCTTGGCTTCAGTCAGCCACAGAAACTCAGCTTTTTGATGAGCTGCATGAGAGCAGATCTTTCTAGTGGCTGATGCCATTAGTGGCTCTGCCTTAGTTATTTTAAAGCAGTCAAATACTTACTCTGCCTTATGGCCTTTGCCATTTCCCTATTATTAATATAATTGTGTCTTATGTATTCCTCGTTCACATTAAATGCCAGTTTTTGTTGGTGTGCACAGGAAAACTTACAGTTTATACCAGCTTTGCTTTCCAATAGCATGTAGTATTGACAAAGAAATAGGTTCCTGCACATGCAAACGATGGACACAGATGTTGATGCAGGTCAGCCCCTAGCATGCTGAAGCAGCAAAAACAAATTTGATCTTGTTGCATCTCTTCCAGTTCACTTGATCGTGTTCACAGACACTGATTTATTAATTTTTTTCCCATAGTAGAAGATCAGAATGTTAAGACTTGAGAGATGTTTTATTTGAGATTGCTTTTCTGGGCTGTTTTCAGTTGATTACTACAGGAAAAAAAAAAACTAGACTCTTAACTGGTACAAGACAGAAGTATTTTCTCTCAAACATCAAGTGGGGAGGGAGGAACAGTTCCTGAACATTTCTGCTCTAGCAATGCTGTAACTGTGAAGGACACCGCTGGATCACTGCCATTGTTCCTGTAAATTCATTTAGCCCTTGTTATTTTGACAGTAAACTGACAGTGATTTGCTGCAGCGTGCGTCAATTGGATTTGTCTACTGCAATAATGTATATAATAACAGGGCTTATTATTGATGAAACTCTGCTTGTGCTATTTAGTTTGCAAATGTCAGAGGTTTCTATGGTAATTTATTTAGGAAACCGTAAAGGTCATTTAAATGCTGCTGTTCAAAGATCAGCCTTCGATCATAGAAAATGTTCTTTTTTTTTTTAGGAAGCCTCTTTTCCTTTTGGATCATGAACATTTAATTAAATGAATGGTGTATTCTTTCCAAAAATATAATATATCTCATTCAAAAGAGGAGGGGGGTGGGAAAGCCGTTTATAACCCAGGTTTGATGGTACAATGTATTCATTAGGCAAAGGGACAGCATACGTTTGGAAAACTAAATTATTTTTTGTATGTCACAGCCTAGTGGAGGAAAAAGGCACTGTTAATAAAGTTTTAATAGAAAAAAGTCTCTCTTCTACATTTGCGTGGCTTTGCAACCTATTTAGAAGGTGAAAAGAGGCATTCCATGAAGAGAAGATACCAAGGAGTTTAAAATAAATTCTCTGTGTTCTTTTGATTTCCACCAACAGAGGCATAACTTTGAAGCTAAGACCAGAGTTAGGTGTTGGGAAGTGTGAGCTCTGTACCACAAACCCTTCTGCATCTCACTTTATGAGCCTGGATTACCCCACACGTGTTTTACTTTTCTCATGCCCAGAATTTTGTGGTATGACTCACGGGCTTGCTGCGTGATACATGTAACCATGTCTCCATCCCAGATGTCTCGGGTGGAATCAGTGGACCCCCTCCTTGCTGTAAAATTGATAGTTTTAAATGAGTAGGCCTGGTAAAGCACTTTGAAATCCTTTCACTGGACACTTGATAAATGCCAAATCCCTTAACGTTACCAGGCAGCAGCAACTTAAGAAAACCTCTAGCTAGTGTTCTTAGTTTAATGGAGCTTAGAGAAACACTTTATATATATATATATTTGTAGCATTTGATGTGTTTAGGGGACCTATGCTGAAATCATATGATAGCCCATTAAAATTTTGCCAAGAATCTTTAGGCTCTTGGGCAGCAAGTGAGTGCAACGTCGTGCGAGCAGCTGAGAGCATCGCTAACTTTCACGTCACTGGTGCAACTGACATCGAACGGTCTGACTCAGCTGATGTTAATTAATGTTTGCAGGGTCACGTCCCAAACGTGTGCAGTTGAATAATCACAGCATCTCTAGCACCAGATCATTTCACATAGTAAACGTAGGGCAGAATAGAGCAGTGTGATAGCAATAATCATCTGTAGATGTGGCAAAATCTTTTTTTATTTCCTTCTAGAACCACTGCTGAGTTCTGAGAGCAGCCAGATGTTCAAAAATGTAATATTATTTTTAAACATATGGGTTGGCATTTTGAAATACCATAAAATAACCTGAAATTCAACTCTGCAGTAAGGAGCTAAAACATTTTGGCCTTTTTTATGAAGTGACTTAAATGGAGTATTAGTGAATAAAAGAGCAAATAAAAACAATGCCTGCCTGTTAAGAGGGGAAAGCCTTTATCAAATTAGAGAGCGTTTTCTAATTTTTTTCCTGGTTTTAAAATAAAAAAGAACTTAGGTTAACACATTTTTGTGTGGGATAGACTACATGAATTAGATGTTAAACGTATAAATTCTTGCTTCTTTGCCATGAACTCTTGGGGCACGTTGTGGATATTAAATAACTATTGTGCTTTAGCCTGATGAAAAAGTTAGCAATTGAAGAAATAATTATCTGTATATACCAGTTAAGTTTTTCCTGAGGTTCCAGGCTTGCATTTATTAAAGATTGTTGTAGAAAGAGATTTTAAATGCATTAAATCCACTGTTTCAAACTGTAATGGTATTTTACTGCCCAGGCTGAAGATGAAATTGCTGTTGAATCTCTTTCTTCCCCTTTTAGATCACGTCTCCATTGGAGGGCTTGGGGATAGCTTTTATGAATATTTGCTCAAGGCATGGCTGATGTCGGACAAGACAGATGAAGAAGGCAAGAAAATGTATTATGATGCTGTTCAGGTAAATAAGATATTTAAATCTTCCTTTACATAATAATCTAATCTATAATAATCCTAAAGAGACAGGCTCTGGGGACAATGTGAGGGATTTATGTCTTTGCCACCTCAGTGTGTTTTTTTTAAAGAATAGTTTCTCTTTTAAAAAGACTTCATCAAATATAAATGCTAGAGGAATACAGATACTGTGGGAAAGGGGAGAGTCTTGCAATGTAGCTATTTTTTCCAACTGAAAGACAGTCAGTTCTCTTTAACACTGGAGGAGAAAATATGCAACAAAAAATGCACCTACAAGTAGCTCTCAGATAGAGGTTCAATTCTTTTTTCCTCAGTTTTCCCTAAATACATTCCTTCTGTCCTTTTTCCTTATATCCAGGAGGGAGTTCCTCTCTTGTGTTTTGACCTCATATTTCAGCCATTACAGTATTTTGATTGTGGTCAACACAGGGGTCAATATGTTGTGGTAGATAATTATAAATGAAAATAGAAATTTTTGTTGCACAATGACTTTTTGTTACAAGAGGCATATATTTGCCAGCTTCTGTGAAACAGCCAATTATTCAAATTAGACACAAGAGAAAGTTTTCAAAAATCAGAAATTACAGTTTTGTGACACTGGATTGAGACTTGGGAAGTATTAAGTTTAAGTTTAAATCCATATTTACAGGCTTTCCTTGCAGTCTTGGGCAAATGACCTATTTTCTCAGTTCTTTGCTTTCAAATATATATAAAAAAGAGGATAATATTACTTCTTTTTTCCCCATCCTTTCATCTGTTTTGACTGGAAGCTTTCTAGGGCCAGGACTTTTATCTCTTATTAACTGTATGTATGTACAGTGCCTCTGTAGACAAGGCTTCGAGCTGCTAAGCAATATCTGCTTATTCTTTCATACATCTGAAAATGTGCTGTGCCTAGGGAAGAGGCATAAGTCTCCTTTTACTTCCCACACCGAAAAAAAGTGGTGGCATTAAAAAAAATACAGCCCTGGCTCATTGCAGCTATTTTTTTTTTTTTTTCATTAGAAGGAAAAGTCATAGGTGGTGATTTGAGGGAGGGTGTGATCTCTGGTGGTAGTAAATTTGATGACCAAGTATCCTCTGCTAAGAAAACCCTGCCTTTAATTTTGTAAGTGCAGATTTGGATGCAGTCAGCCTCATTTTCACCGCTGACATGGTTTCAGCTTGAGAGCAAAAGGTGGATTTTAAATCGGGTTTGAGTGCATTTGAGGCTATAACATAAGAACAGTGATACTGTAATAGCTCAGCCATTAGGTTGGCAGCCAAAAAGAGAGAACAAAGTATCTGATAATACAATATCAATTCATCTTAGCGTGGAAGGCATTTTGATGCACCTCAAAGCTGCTTCAGTCTTCTGCTTCCACTGGTTTAATAACGTCAGGTTTTTAGTTTAAATACATTCTTACACAGGGTAAGCGCTAGTGTGTAGATGCATGCGGTAAAAAATGTGCTTTTGCTAGTACAGCTATTCTGGAAACCACCGCAGATAGAATATCCCAAACGTGGTGTGACGGTCACCCTTGTCGGTGGGACCGTGACCGCATTGACTCCCATCCTGCTGGGGAGCAGCAGGGGCACATTGATCGCAGCCGATGATGGAGAGTCCGAGAGAGCCCAGTGTCCCAATGGCCGGTGCTGGGCTGCTCCGGCTAGGGCTGAAGGTTCTCCTTCCCCTGACTTGAGCACAGCTGGAGCGAGGTCCATCAGGAAGTCTCTCTTGCCTTACGCCACACGAGCGGGTGTGCCGTCCCATGTCAGCTGCACGGTGGCAGTGTGCCTGGGTCACTCCTGAGCCAGCCCAAACTGCCCAGCGGGTGGAGAGCTACCTGCTGTTGGCTGGTCATTGGGGAAGAGGGCCAGGAGTGCTCCGAGGTGTGTCCGTGCGGGGTGCAGCGGCATGGCTTTCTTTAAACTCACACCTTAGCTATACCGGGATAACAACCTCCTCGGGTAGGAAAGTTGTCGCGGGCATCCCGAGGCCCTGGCGGGGAGCAGAAGTGGTGATGGCCGCCACCCCGCGTGGCTGGTTCTTCCTGCTCAGGGTTGAGCTGGGGGAGCAGAATTGCCCGGTCAGCAGCATCACTGAATGTGGCAATATCGATGACAGGGTCTGAGCTCTGCTGTATACGACTAGATTTAAAGGGCCTATTTTCTTAATATTTTTCAGTAGTACTAGCTCTTAAGCAGTCCGAGCATCGTGTCTGTCCAGAGTATCAGTGTTTGAGCGGGCCAAATGATAACTAAATATGTGCTAGATTTTGCTGTGCTGCTGGTTGAATGCCGTTTCCAGTATTTTCTGAGCGATGGCGTTCATGTTCTCTGTTTTCTATACCGAGGTACATCTGTACCAAAGCTGAAAGTGTACATGCAGCATGTGGAGGTACAGCTTGATGTTGTAATGTAACTTGTTCAGAAAACAGCAGGGAAGTTGCAGTTTCACAGAAACTGCAGGCTGGTTGGGCCCCGTTGAGATGCTAGCTTCTTCGCCGGAATAACTAGACTGTTCTCAAATCCATCCTGATATTGGCTTTATTGCTGTCGATCCCTTACTTCTCTAAATTAAAGCTAATTTAAGTGTCTGCACAAGCTGCAGTCTTTCTTTATGACTGAGCCTCCACGGTTTGGGCATTCTGAGTCTGCTTCGTATTTTCTTAGATAAATTTCCCCCGACGCTTTCAGAATCTTTTTAAAACTATGCCAAAGGGAACGGCGTGATTATTCCTGGCCATTCAGTCCAGCACATACCCACCGAATTCTGAAAGAGCAATGTGAAGGTTTGATGCCTAATTCAATATCTTCCGCTATCCAGAAAACACAAATGAAAATATATGGTGAGTTATAGTTCACTGTGAAAAGCTGAAATTTATTTAGATAAAACTTTGGGGCTATTTCTTATGTTGTTCTGTAACTCGTATTAGAAACAAAGCGTTCTTTCTATTAGAATTTTTGTAGCACCTATAGATTGTTTTATGGCTTAAGTTAAAAGCAATAACTTAAGATGTCAAGCTAGATTTAAAAAATTTTTCTGCTTGCCACGAATAAGATGTGTGTTTGACTGATGCCATTTAAAGAAGAGTTTATTTCTAATGGGAAAAGGGACAGAGATGGTCTTGTTTTGAATACCAGAGCATAATATGAATGTATTTATAAGGCTGTCAGAGGGATTCATAAACTCTAGAATTTGCACAAAAAGACAAGTGAATGTATTTTTAATGTAAGTTATTTTTCTCTTTTGGAAAGCAGTGCATGTAGTGTCCTCTTTCACGTAATACAGGAAATAAGAGATCTTCTTAAACTGGTTTCAATGGATAGCGTGCAACATTCAGTTACAGAACAAACCTGTATTCGGATTTTAGTCATATTTTAAGGATGTAACTGGCCATAGAATAATCTGTCAGTCTTTGCAAGTATCCAGGACAAGGAGCCATCCCGCTCTTTTCAGTTAACACAGTTGATCTCTGAGACACAATTGAGTAGGTTTAGTAAGAGAATATGATAATTCAGAGCAAAAATGGACCTTCTGGGTTCACTTATGTCTAGTCTAGCAACAGCAGTGTCACAAGCAACTGCATCAAATCCTCCTCCCTTGAATGTGTCCGCCCCCATTTTCTAGGTTGAAGGGCAATTTTGCCACTACTCCTGTGAATAGGTTGTTTCACACTTGATGTCTGATGGTTAGGTACCTTGTCCAAATTTTCCCATTACCTTTGTTTATGGCCATTGCTGCAAGCTTTCTGCATCTTAAATATTTCTTCTCTCTCTCTGGCGCTGCCTTCATCCCCTCCTCAGTGTATTTCTAGACAAGTGGCATATCATATATAGGATCATATTTTACTTTTTTTTTTTTTTTTGGTACACTGCTAACTTTTCAGACTAGCCTTGATACACTCAGTTTGTACTCTGCCAAAGGAAGCTATTTGGTTTTGATTTTGTTGGGGGGGGGGTGTTGGTATATTTAATTGTCAGCATTAAGTAGTGAATATTTTTCAGTGCTGTCAAGATTCCAGCCTGTTAGATAAAACAAATCCAGATAGACTCCTTTTTTCACTGAAATGAGGGAGAGAACAAAGTGTTGTTAGCAAACTGAAAACATGATATTGGCAGATAGGCCCTTTTCATCTCCAGAGTTTCACGAGTGTCTGTTTAACTGTGGTGACAGTCTGGTGGCTGGTCTGTGCTGACTGCAGTTTGCATTAAGTCGCTTGAAGTGGTTTGCTTTGTGATCGTAGTGATCTTAAAAACTGCATAACTGATGTGGACAATGACAGAACTGCAACAACTCAATTAGAATAGTTTGTCGTGCTGGGTAAAGCCAAAAGTGTATTAATGAATTGAACATGCAATACTTGAGCACTTCTTGGCATTGAAGGAAATACATAAATAGGGCAGGCAGGGTGTTACAATAGGAGCCCATCCGCAGAATGAAACAGTTGGTGCAGGGAACCCAGCATTCCCACTGCATACATTGAGGGGGGGGGCGAGGTATTGTCTATAACCTAAATGTGTAAAAATAGAGAAATATGCAGTTTATTTACATATTTTGTCAGCTGTCATGTTTAAAATATTTATCACCCAGCTGCACTGGTGTTCTGCACGTAGCGATAGTATAGCTGTATTATGTAGGAACACAAGATTCATTACGCTTAACAGATGAGAACATCCAGAGGACTCGCTGCTCCGTTTTATTCTCTTCACTATATTGCCCCTCTTGACAGGAGTTTTGAGGCTTTCCACAACTGCTTACAGAAAGCATCAAGACTAAAGACAGGCTTCTGCAGATTTTTAAATCGTTACTGATTTACTTATAACTGCACAGTGTCTATATTTTGGACTATAGAAAGTACTTATTAAAATGTTTGCTTGTTTATGGACTGTCAGGAGAAGCAGCAAGCTGTAACGTTGTTAGAATTCTTAAAGGAGGATTTTAACTTCAGAAAAGTCCTGCAAGATAGATTGTCCCCTTTTTGCTCGTGGCTTTGCTCTTGT